ACAAAAAGAAGTCATCATTATCATAAAGTTCACTGTTGGATGAACGTAAAACTACATTCGTTTATGCTTTATTCTAAAGAAAGTACCTGCGTTATGACGATTATAGAAGCATATGCGTAAGTATGTACCTACGCATGTGCGCGGATGAGTTTAATTTATACCTAAGTCTGTACTTAACCTACTGTAGTGTCAATTTGAAGCCATAGTGTATTTTGTGTAGCTTTTATTTAAACTACTACAGTGTAATTCAAATTTACGGTTGAGACCAAGTGTGAGCATGGGTAATAGAACCATTATTAATCTAATAGACGCAAAATTAAGCCATACTGACAATGTTCACAGAGCCATTGAATTCATTTGTGAAAATTATAACATCTCTGTGGAAAAACGTAAACGTCTCGATGAAAAGATCCATAAAATCGTTACTAAATACATAAACAAATGGCATGAAGCTAATCGCACGAAAGAGCAATTTGAGTCGTATTTTCGGAATTGGCTTGATGGAGAATTTGACATCGAGGAATTCATCGAACAGGAGCAATGTGTTGCCTCAACCTCGGCCTCGGGAACAAAACGTGGACGACCTTCAAAACCTTTCTTGGATTTGAGTGAAAGAGGAAAACGTCGCGTCATCGATAAAGAAGCAGTTGATCCAAAATTCGATACCATCGAGAAAGCTTTGTTATTTGCAAGACGGACCGCTTATAATCGAAAGGATTTTAATTTAGTTAAAGTTATTGGGCATATTTTAAAAAACCAAAAAAGCTCTAAAACCATGCTGGCTCAACTAACTGATCAACGAGGAATGATGTCACCAGAAGAGGCTTTTAGTGTACTTATCGAGGCTGGATTGAGTAGATTTCAATACGAAGTAATACATAGTGAATCACCTTCAAGATTTCCACCTTACTACGTGATCGGAGCAGTGAAAAAAATATGCGCCCCTTCTAGTGAATTCATCGAAGAAAGTGCATTGAAAATAAGAGTGAAACTCCAGGCGCTGATGGAAAATACAGTGAAACGAATCGTCCAAATAATTGATGCAGAGCTCAACGAGTATATGGATAGCAACGATCTAGTTTCTACGAAACTGGTTCTTCTATGTAGCTGGGGTATGGACGGATCAACTGGATATTCGCAATATCATCAAGTGCTACCAGAAGGATGTCAGGACGATTCAGATGTATTTTCGTCCACTTTAACACCACTTCAGTTGTTCATGTACAATGATCGAAAGGAAATTATGTGGTTTAATCCCATGCCTCAAAGTATTCGATTTTGTAGGCCATTCATCCTTGAATTTATTAAAGAGAGTAAAGAAGTTATTCTGGCTACAAAACAGGATGTAGAAAAAGAAATGAGTGATCTAACGCCAGTGAAAATTGAACTCTCAAACGACAAGTTTATACTTGTTGATTTTGATTTTGTCCTCAGTATGATAGACGGAAAAGTGTTAACGTATATCACTGAGAATTCGTCGATGCAGAATTGTCCAATATGTGGGGCAACACCAAATGTAATGAATGATGCAGAGAAATTCGAGGAAGGATTTATATCAAACGAAGAAGCCTTGCATTACGGCATATCTCCACTTCATGCTTGGATAAGATTTTTCGAATGCCTTTTGCATATTGCATACAGAATGGATATCAAAAAATGGAAGGTAACGAAACCGTTCAAAGAACTATATGAACAAAGAAAAAAACATGTGACGACACAGCTTTACGAAAAACTTGGAGTAAGAGTAGATCAACCACGATCGGGTGGAGCATGTACCAGTACTACAGGAAACGTTTGTCGAAGAGCATTTGGAAATCCCAAGCTTTTAAGCTCCGTGCTGAACATTGATGAAGAGTTAATTTTCAGATTCCGGAATATATTAATTGCTATTAACTGCCAAGAGCCAATAAACCCCGAAAAATTTGATGCATATTGCAAGGAAACATATAGGTTCTATCTTAAATTGTATGATTGGTACAAAATTCCTGCAACCGTGCATAAAGTTCTTGCTCATGCCGGAGAAATAATCATACATTCACCAGCATGGTTCATTAGCGGAAGAGGCAGCAGAAAGTCAACATAAACAATTGAAAAAATATCGAACCCATCATGCAAGAAAACGATCAAGAGTAGAAAATTTACATGATGTCTTTGTTCGTGCCATTAATGAATCGGACCCACTGATCAGTTCCATTTGGATGGCAAAAAGACGACAGAAAAAAGTATCCCTGGATTATCCCGACATCGTGAAAAGTTTCATGATATTTGAAAATTCTGTAAGTGATTCAGTAGTCGATACTAATAACTTCAATGCCTTGGAGGAACTTATGAAAGCAGTCGATGAAATTGAAGAATAATTTGTTCATGATGATATTGTAACAGAGGAATAAAAAGAAATTCGTTGAAACATATTCGATTTTGATTATTGTATCATGGCTTTTTGTATTTTTTTTACAGAAGATTTGTTGGAAAAAATAAACATATTTCAAAAAAGAAAGTTTTTTTTTTATTTCTTACGGTGTTCCCCCAATAAAACCATGGTAGGTTGTCTTTGTTCAATAGATTTTATTCTCTGAAAACAAGCTTGAAACTGTTACCGTTATAAAATCGTAAAAATTAAATTTTAATTAATCAAAAGTTAGACCCTTTTCAAAAGTTGGTCGTGAAAATGTTGAAAAGTGATAACGCACACCTTATATTGATGAAACAAAGCAAGAATAATAGCAGAAATTGTGAAAAAATGATAGAAATATTTTTGACCGCCTGGTTGTATGATGGAGGTTTTAGCAAGGAAGGCAAATATCCGATGACATATAGGGTAAATTATGGCTTCGGCACCCATTGACTATTTTCGGCAACCGAAATTGAAACGTTAATTTCACTGTATTTTCCCATCAAAACTCTTCGCTGAATGTATTAAGCCGATTCCTTACCTTTTCAGCTTCAATCTGATTACATTTTTACGACTGTGCAATCCTGTTATGCCATATTTTTCTTTAAATTAAATATACACACTACAAAATACGGCTGATTTCGAGTTGCCGATAATAGAACAGCTGGTTAACACGCAGTTCAAATGGAAAGGGTGCCGAAGAAAAAGAGACTGCCGACAATAGTCACACTCACATGAGAAGTTTGGAGCGTTGTAAAAACATGTTCAACCCGTTTTGATCAATTCTGTCGATTGGAATTGGTAGAACAGCAAGCTGCAGATAAATGTCAACAAACAAACCTGTCATGTATGTGTGTGACGCTGAGAAATCGCTAATAGAAGTTCGGACGCTGCTTAGATTGACGAGAATACGTAAATTACCCTAATTAATGTAGATTCGCACGAAACTAGTCTGGGTGCTCAATTCGAGCAAATGTATCGGCATCAAAATCAATTAATAACTAATTACATTGAATTCCAATAAAAAGTGGTTATCAACAAAAATATTTGTGTTCGCATTAAATTAAAAAGCATGTTTATTTCAAGAATTTAGAATTTGGGTAAACGATTTTTAGCGTGTCCTGCCTTCTTCATTCCTTTTTCACTATTGGCAGAGGAGCTTAATCGAAAATGGCCCACAAGCCGCGAAACCGAAGTCAAAAATAAAATTCCAGCTCGACAAAACACGTGGAACCCCATAATTTCAACGTAACCCCGTCGTTCCTGATCCCGATTCCCATATTATTCTCCCAATGCCTGCCATCGAAAGAAAAATGAAAATCCATTTATCAATTTCTTGTTAAAATACTCTTTAAACGTGTTCTATCATTATAAAAGCAACCATAAAACCATTAGGTTTAAAATGAAAGCAAACAGCTTTTTATGCTTTTAAAGTCGGTTTCGTAAGATCCCCTATTAAACTATTTACACATTGAACTTAAAAGATTGATCCTCATAGTGAATAAAAGCCAAATTTATGAAAAGGAAATCTCGAAGGATAGATGAAGTAGGATGAAAAATCCAAAACCGATCGAAGGGATTTCAGCCAAATTTACACGTTCGGCTTTATGCCCGCGCTGGAAATGGAAATGTTGTAAAACAGTATCGGAAACTCTCTGAGTAGGGTAAGTGCACCAGTATTGGTCATAAGTTTATATTTTGGCTATACCTCAGAAAGACTATTGAATCACAATATTCGTGCGTTTTGTGAGCGATATGTGTGTGTACTCCGATGAATATGATTTTGAATAGAAGCATGGCCAATATAGGAGTGTTTCCAATCCATCGACTAACAAAGGGGGGCGCCTTTGGAGGGTGCTCTCACTCTTCGAAGGGTATAAATAGCGGGACCTTTGAATTACAATCGATTCCATGCGATGAAAGCAATAATGACCACTGTATCAAAACCGAATACTTCATCATTTCTCAAGAGTGATGGAGTAATATGACATGCATTAAACTAAGGACACAGGATATACTACAATAGATCAATTTACTAGTCGCAGTTATTTTATGTCCCGAACAGAGGAAAAAAGGAGAGTTGACTGTATGGTCAAAATGTATGGTCAAGATGCCATCCCGTGTGATGTTTCTTATCACCATGCACCGAAAATAACCTCTGACAGCATGCCATCACACAGCCGCAGACTAGCAGTGAAGGACATTGTCACACATTAAGCAGCACCATGAATAATTTATTAAATCCTGTTGATCTCGTTCAAGCCGTCCAAGTCATAAGCTAAAATTATAATGCACCGACTTAGTCCAACGGACTACTGCCTTAGGTGTGTGTTACCTGCCGGGTGGCAAAACAAACCAGTTCCTAAATTTCGAGACAATACCTTCCCCGAAAAAATAAGCTCATCTCCGTGCTAAGATAGTTATATTTGATTAGTTTGAATTTTATATAGCCGGCAGAAGAAACTCGAACTCGATTCGATCATGTATATCGAATCGGTACATAATGTCATCAGGTTTTGAAGATGTTCTACGATCGGTGGTATTCTTGTCGGTTGCGATTTTTCATCATGGAGCAACCCCCAAAATGGTGCGTATAAAAAGCTTTGGCAAGGTTCTGGAATTCATCAGTCACATCATCAACTCTCGCAAAGTAGCATCCCAAGTGATCCAAAAGAAAAAGCCCACAAAATGAAGTTCATCGTTGCCTTCGCTGCTCTGATTGCCCTGGCTCTGGCCGCTCCCGTCGATGAGAAGGACGCTCAGGTTCTGAAGTACGACAGCGATGTTTCCGCCGATGGATACAGCTTCCAGTACGACACCAGCAACGGAATCCAGGCCCAGGAGAAGGCTGAGCTGAAGAACTTTGGTGATGATGTGGTCGCTCTGGTCGTCCGTGGAAGCTACTCGTACACCGCCGCTGACGGACAGGTCTACACCGTGAACTACGTTGCCGATGAGAACGGTTTCCAGCCAGAAGGTGCCCATCTGCCCAAGGTATAAGTCATCAATGCATACACCCGAAGTCATTCTGTAAATTAGTGTAGATAAAACAACCGAACTTCACAAAAATGTACAAAATTGTTTCGAAAACCGTTTAAATAAATTGTTGCCGCAACCACATTGTCAAAATAATGTAGCTTTTACTTGAAATTGATGGCTTAAAGTTGGAATGGAAGAAGAGAAAATTAAGAAATGGTCCTTAACATTTTCCCTCTTAATGTATTAACTTAAATTTTCCAACTTGGTAGATGGAAATCGCTAATTTTTACATTTGAGGGATGTATTGCTCTTTGCGACTATTTCATTACTTTTTTTTATATAGAATGCTTACGTTAAATCCAATTGAATTTTCAGTTATTCCATCTTAAAATTGACAGTTTAGTGCTATTAATCTCCCTATCAAAATTCATAACTTCCGCACCGCAGAGCCACACTCTGTGTTTTCACTGAAAGTGCACTTGAGAGCGCTCTCGAGTGCGCATTCAGTGAAAACATAGAATGTGACTCTACGGTGTGGAAATTTGCATTTGGCTAAGGAGATTAATAGCATTAAACCACAGACAAACATACATAGCACTCGCAAGTTGCTCATCGAACAAGCATTTAACCACAGAACAGAAGGGACAGTGCAAACAAATCGGTGAATCAAAAAGTGGTTCGTTTTTCGGCTCAACAAGCGATGTGTTGTGGTAGCGGTCCACACGGGTTTTCTATGTGCACTCACACTATCATAGCATGCTGCCTATCTTAACTGCAGGCAGAAGATGCCTTCAACCGCTAGGTGCGCTAGTGTTCGCAAATGACAAGTGGAGCCACTTTCTGATCCGAAGTTCCACTCCTGTGATTTAACGGTCAATTTAAAAGAATCGTAGTTGGTAGTACCACCACCTGTGGCGCGGATTGTCAATTCCCTTGCGTTTGACGTTTACTCACTACCGCCATCTGTTCAACGTACTATCCACCACAGTGACTTAACAGATGGCGGTAATGTTTTAGCGACGATGGTTTACAGTGAGAAATAATCAATTGTTATGTCTGTTAGTCTGTGATTAAACTTTCTATTATACGATGGGTTCGCTGAAAATCCAACTGGATTTTACGTTAGCATTCAAAAATATAAAAAAATAATGGAAAAGCCCCAATGGTGGCTGCCAACTTCAAGATGAATCAAAACATGGGCTGTCGAAGCATACCTTTAAATATCGACCAACAGGATGGCACAGACCAGACACATACCTTTCTTTGAATTTACCCAGCGTACAACGCACTTAGAAATTAGTAAATAATTCGATATTTTTTACCGAGATCTCAACAGATGAGTTTGATATATCAAGTTTGAAATATCAAAAATTGTTACCCTGTTGTGCGTTTCCTAGCAGCTGATCGAAATTGATTGGCTTTTCTTATAAAGCAAAATGTGATTAAGGCTGCTCCAGGGAAGTAAAGCCGTTTGTCCCCGGTCTATGAGTTGATGGGTCGATAGGTAGGGTCCAGGTGTGGGAGCTGTCTCCTTGGTGTAGGTAGCTTTCTTACTCAATACGGAAAACAAATCAAATAAATAGAAAATAATTAACGATGCTTGGTCAGTGGTCAAGCAAATGCAAGGGCCATCAAGTTACACCCGGATCTTCCTGAATCCATTGAGTCTTCAGAGTATGGGCTATCGTGTCTATGCATCGTCAAGTGAAAAGCTTCACACTCTTTCGCATTATTGCTGTAACGCTGTATAGGAAGGGAACATGGATTGAAACCACATAACATATGTAAAACTTGAACCACCGACGAACCGACATGCCATACGACCATTTCGTTTGTCCACAATTCTATTTTTCAAACGAGCGATTCGAACTATCAAATGGGCGATCAGATCTGTCAAACGAGGTGAGACGCAAACCAAGCCAATCAAAATTCAACGTGTGTTCGTGTCTTTGCTCATTATACGATGCGATCGGATGAGTAGATGGCGGTAGATCTTATCGTATTTTAAGTATGTCATCTTGGGCAAGAATTTAAAGTTATCTTGTTTGAGCTGATATGTCGGCTCGTCGGTGCTTGAACCTCAAAAGTTGAAGCTTTTTTGATTTTCGAAGTGTTTTACATGGACATCAATCTGTGAATGTTTATATAACATTTCAAATTTTCAAATAGTCAACGTTTCCCATCAGAATTATTGTTTTTTTGTTAACTTAAACCGACATTCTCTAACTTCTCAATGTATCTTTGAAACAGTGTTTTTCACGTTTCAATTTACACCAGCTTTGAAAAGCAAATTAAAAATAAACTCTTGCTTACAGGATGGCGAGCAGTTTTTTTCCTCAAGGAGCAAACTATTATATATAAATTATTTTCACTTATTTTTTCAAATTAATTTATTCCATTATTCACCTCTAATGTATGTTAGCACGCTGGAGAGTATGAGATTATAATTTGGAGCTGTCCGCGAAAGCACTTAAGGAGAGAGTGGAAGGTGGGAAATAAAGACTGGAACGCACAAAAATTGGTCGGTCATATCACAAAAATCTTCTTATTTTTCTTTTGGTAGTTCAATTAATATATTTAAAGGAATTTTTTTTCGTTAATTCTTTTGGTTTGCCAAAACTGCTGTGCCTTCCGCTTAACCCCTGCCATTAAATTTTGCACAGTGGTCTCATCGACCTTATTCGCCGCCCAACGCCAGTTAGATTTAAACTGCTGCTCGTTTTCCATGGATTTATTAGTTTTTTGAGATTTCGTTTGACCAAGGCCCAATACCTTCCGAAAGGGCGGAGTTCTGGGCTGTTGGGAGGGTTGTGCTCATTGGGTACCACCACCACGTTGTTCGCATCGTACCACTCGATTGCCTTTTTCCCATAGTGGCAGCTCGCCAAGTCCGGCAAGAAAAGCACAGATCTATTATGTTGCTTTAGGAATGGTAGCTGCCGCTTTTACAGGCACTCCTGGGTGTAGATCTCTTGATTGATGGTTCCCGTGCCACACATGCATATGGCTTGCCAGACGAGACCGCACCTTTCGGGACCGCACCTTTGCCGACGTGTTTTGTTTGTAATCTCGGTTCGCCACCTTAACCTTCTTAAACGTCGACAACCCAGCTCGTTTCTTGGCCCGCTGCACAGTAGTATGGGAGACATTGAGCTTGCCAGCGACGTCCCGGAAGGAGAGGTTAGGATTCCGCTTATATTTCACCGCCACCTTCTTCGTCGTCGCTGCCACGTCCGGATTGCGATTGCCGCCGCTTCCAGGCTTCCTGGCGGTCGACAGACGCTCCCTGAACTCTTTTAAAACGTTTGTGACGGTCCCTTTGGCCACATCCAGCAATTTTGCCAACTTGGCAACTGCCAACTTGGAGAACGTCGGATTCTCTTGCTGCGCGAGCAAAATTTTGACACGCTGCTCCTCTTGCTTGAACGTCATTTTGAAAACTGGAGAGCAAACGATGAAAACTCATCATAGCAACCATTGTATATACACTCCACTCCAAATGCAGCATTTCAGGCTTTTTTATGCATTTTTAACAGAAATACACCAATTTGAAGTTGATCAATTTTTGCGCGTTCCAGACTTTAAGAAAGCTCAGACTGAATGCTTGTCAAATGGCAGCCAAGTAAAACTGTCAAAGTGTCATGCCATAAAACATTCGAAGTGACAAGGCAAAACAATCGTAATAACGGACATTGGTGGATTCTGTCAACCTTGGCCATAAACATTATTAAGTAGGGAAAATGTTGATACATGATGTGCGCAACTGTCATAATTCATTTTAGTTTAAGAAACGAAGCTGAAAACATTTACTTGAATCCTAAAAAAAACGTTTTTTTTCGGATGTAAACAGCTCTTACACTAGTCACGCATTTCCTAAGCCGTTTTCTTTTAAAATTACGACTGATTTCAATGTGACCGTGTTTGGAAGGAAGGGCTATAATCATGAACATTTTAATTTTCAAGCAAGTAGGCTCCCTAAGTTGGCAAGTATCTAAGGTATATGTTTCCAAAAAATGTATGAGCGATTATCTACGCTGGAGGAAGAGAAGTTTAACATATCTCAAAAATTCCCAACGTAGCTCATGGACAGTCCCTAGTTTATTGATAGTATGTCGACAGTAAATTAGAGCATGAGCATGAGCATGATTGACCGCCCACGGTTGCTACTCTGTTATTGCCAAATCAGTACTTACACAGAGAACCAATAGACGACGCTTGGGACTAGTAATCATCCTCAGTGTGTAAAAACTGGTGATCTCAAAATAAGGCAATACCAGCGCTGGCCGCGCCCGAACGCAGGTCAAGAAAGGAATGGGTAGGAATGTGTTGACGTGACACTCGCTTTGATGGAAGCCGAGAAATCCTCTGCACTTCCACGAGGAATCACTGGGATGTTGGATAAGAGGGTAGGGTTTGCAGCAGGGTTCGTTTTGGTAAACGATAAGCTGAATTGACGTCCTAACGATAGAGAGGGGTTACTGTATAAATTAATAAAAAAGGAATGATTTCACTCAAATAACCAAGTGGAGCTGCAGCAACAGCAATTGGCCTCCTTGTAGAGTTATGAAAATTTAAAACGGAATTTAAATAAATGTGTCCACCTACTCCAATTGCTATACAACCTGGATTTTTTTTCGTACAGCCTGTACAGCTGTACAGCCTGGAAATTCGTAGCCTGGATACGAATAATTCTCATTTTTGGTTTGAATAATTAAAAAATGCTTTGTAGAAATTGGAACTGACAAAAGTTGTAGGCCAAATCTCTAAAAAAAACATTCAATACTTATGAAATTGAAATAAACTATTCCAGCACCCTTCGTACCATGCACAAGGGGCATAATTTACGGCACATGATAAGATTTGAATTTCAGTGTGCCATGATTTTGCTGAACAATGAAAAATATTGGAATTTGAATCCAGTGTCCATTTCGTAGTTTTCGAAGATGTGAGAGCGGATAATTCGACGTTGAAAACTTGATGATCATTAAGGTACTAACCAAGATGGACGAAGACCTGCAATACCATGAATCCACAGGAATAACAAATCCTGTAGTTCGTAGTAACTTAATGATTTTGTAGGATTGGCTGACTTGTCCAAATGGATGACATGCATTAAATTTGTACACATTGTTCAGCTGC